ATTAATCCGATGGGTAATATATTGCAAGAATTTTCAGCACAATCTTTAGAAAGGTTATCTGATTATTAATATTTCATTCTTATCTTTTCTTAAATGGCAATATTTATTATTTTAAAATTAAAATGCCATTTCATATGCTATTAATTTATTGCTGACTATTTGACTCAAACATTTTAACATTTTCATGAAATTTTGATTTTATAAATTAAAATATCTGCAAAATTTAGTATAATATTTTGTCTATATCACCGAAATGAACTTATCAGCTAATTATTTAAAATGAATTCGAAAATTAATCATTCAAAATGAAACTATTCAACGAAGAATTGTCAAAATCGAGAATTGATATTTTTTTAAAAGAAAAGAATATATGTCTGTAAATGATTATATCATTCCACATCAAATTAATATATGTCTGTAAATGATTATATCATTCCACATCAAATTAACTATTTATCAAATTAATTGAAAAACATTCATCAAATTAACTTTATCAAATTTTAAGTTGCAAAAATTAATTCATCAAAAATTTACTTACCAAATTGAATCATCCAAAAATAATATTCAAACCTATTAATATTAATAAATGAAAAGTTATTCATCTCAAAATTATTCATAATTTCACTTTTCTTGAAATTTTTTTTCGATGCATCTCTTTTCTTTTTTAAATTAAATTTTGCATATGTGATATAAACATTTTATATGATTCAATTAATTATTAGTCTTTTATTGATAATCAAAATTTCAATGATACAGCATTTGTTATACTTTATAGAATGTCTAATTTTGATAAAATTATTATTTAAATTTATCATCAAAATTATAGAAACATCTTATTAAATAAACTTTATTAAAGTTATTTCCTAACTAAAATGTACACCTAATTAAAATTTATTCCAAATTATTCCGTTATAAAAATATTTATCAAATTATCTTTATCAAAATTATTTTTTCACTATCTGTTAATTAATACTTTACAAATTAACTTTATCAAAGTTATTCCTTTATTAAAATATCTAAATTTTGTCGAAGATGAAAATATCAAAATTATTTCCTTATCAAAATACGTTTAATGTTGATGAAACCATTACTTTAATCTATCAAATTTATTTCGTTGTGAAAATATTTATTAAAATTAATTAATTAAAATTATTCCTTCATTATTTGTCGAATTAGTCTTATCAAAATAAAATTATTTTCTTATCAAAATACTTATCAAATTTGATTTGTCAAAATTAAAATTATTTTTTTAATATTTTATTTACACTAATATCATTTGTAGTCGTTACGGTATAAAATTTTCGGAAATATCAATACGATTACTTTGGTCATTTGTTGCTGGTATTTTATTTATTGGGGCAATTATTGGTGCTACAGTAATAACATCGATCAGTAACCGTATTGGTTCACGGCAATCATTTATATTTATTGGAATAGTTAGTTTGCTTTTTAAAAATTTTATCAAATAATTTTTTTAGATAAAATATTTTTAAAATATCTCACTTAATCTTACTGTATTCCCTAATTAATCGTATTGGAATATTTACCTATCAAGAATGAATGCTAAAAGTTTGTCCGTAAACATTCAGAAATATCAATTAATTTGCATGCATACTTATTTAATATATTTTAGGCATACTGTAAAATTACTTGAATTTTATAAATAATTAGTAGCTAATCGTTCGGTAATTTTAATGATTAAAGATTTTATAGTAATTTTGATTAATAATACTTTAATTGAATAATTAATATCCTATTATAATTCGCTTCCATAATTTTTGAAAAATAATTTCTAATTTCCAATAATTAAAAGCTTTGAATAATTTTTTTCCGGACTATTATTAAAAGGATTTATTTTTTTCTATTCAAAATTTCAAATCGATAAAAATTTGTTTTAATCAAATTATTAATTTTAGTTAACGATTATTGCTCTTCTCTTCACACCTTTATCACAGTATACAAATATGGTAGAATTATTTATCGTATCACGATTTATCGTTGGCATTTGTATTGGAATGAGTACCACTGTACAAGGTGTATTCTTGACTGAAATTAGTCCAGGTAGTTTATTATGAGCTTTTTGTAGAATTACATCCTGAATTAAATTATATCATTAAATATTTAACATATCTAACATGCATAAATTACAATGTCGTTATTAATTATAGTAATTAAATATTAATTTAATCGATTAAAATTTGATTCTTTTTCTTCAGAATAATTCATTTGTTCAGTTGTCAGTTGATCAAAAATATTATCTTAGAAAATCTTTTGATATTATTTATGTATAACAATGGTTTTTTTATCATTTCAATTTTAATTTCATTTTAGCATTCTACCGATTATTTTTTCGATTAATAAAATCAATTAATAGAATTAGAAGGAAAAACTTTTTCAAATCAAAATAAATTTTATTTTCTTCTTTCTTATCATATAAATTGAAACTTCAGAAAAAAATAAATAAATATTTTATAATACAAAATTAAAAATAGTTTTTACATAAATAATACTTTGAAAGTTTGTCAAAAAATTTTGAAATAATTTTCAATTAATAATATTTTTAAAATATCAAATTATTCTATCAAATAATTTGCGCAATTAAGCGATTTAGTTATTAAAATTTTCAATTTTTCAAATTTTTTTATTTTTATAGTTTGTTTTCGTGGCCTAATGGGTACATTAACTGGTCTCTCGACTAATATTGGCGCTTTGATAGGATCGATGATTGGTTTGCCACAAATTTTTGGCACGAATAATTTATGGCCTTATGGCTATTATATAGAAATGATTCCATGCTTAATGCTTATATGTTATGCAATTTTTTTCCTCCATGAAAGTCCATCATATTTTTTGAAAAGAATGGATGAAAATGAAGGAAGAAAAGCGATTAAATTTTATGATAGAAAAGATAATTGTCAAATAGATGAAGAAATTGAAAGATTTAAAATGCAACAAAGAAATGAAAATCAAATAAAATATATCAATTGGACAAAACTTTGTGATAGCAGGTCATTTTTTTATTGATTTGCAAAATTTATTCATGATTAATTTGATAATTAAAATATGAATATAAATTATTCCTACTTTCATGCATTATGAAATTTATTTTATTTGATTAGAAATATATTTTAATAAAGAAAGATATTGCGATAAATTTCAGTGAATTAAAAATGCTTCAAAAGAAAAAAATTTGGATATGATTACTTTAAAAGAAAGTTAAAATAATACCTATATTATATCATATTATTAATATTAGTATTAGAATTAGCATTAAAAAAATAAGAAGTGCAATGTTAAAGCATAGCAAAATTGATTGACTCGTCTTTTTTCTTCGCTCTTTCCTTAAGAGTTTAGTTTAGGAAAATCGAATTGATTGTTCTCGAGTTATTAAAAATTGATAAACTTGATAATAATGCATTTAAATCAAATATAAAATAATATTTTAGAGCAAATCGTCGAGCTCTTATGCTTTCAATACTTTTGAATTGTACGGTAAGCTTTAGTGGCGTAATTGCAATGGTATTTTTGGTACAGCTCTTCTTGGCTCAGCTGGTTTTACACCAACAGGAGCATCATTGGCAAATTGTCTTGCAGGACTAGCTGGTACCATTGGAATTCTTATTCAAGCTATAACCATTGATAAGGTTAATTCGATTTAAATTATAAGTTTCATTTAATTTCTTTTTTTCAATTTAATTTTTGCATATATTTGATAATATTCTCTTTAGCAAATAATATCTAATGCTATTATATAGCAATATTGATTGATTATGAAAAATTGTTTTATTTTTAAATTCATTTCTTAATTAAAATAAAATCATCTTTTTTGCCATCAGATTGGACGCCGTTTTTTGCTTCTTGGAAGTTTGATTAGTTTAATACTGATAAATTTGGGAATGATGATATTAGTCTGGATTTTTCGCCGATATCATTACTCTTGGCTTGCCTATTGCTTCCTCTTTCTTTTTGCATTATTTTTATTCCTTTTCAGGTATAAACTTTTTATATATATGATATAAAATGATAAAAATTATTGAATTGTTATTATTCTAAAGCTTTAAAATTATTTATTATTATAATTATCTGAGCATTAAATTATTGTTATTTTCAGATCTCAAAATCAATTATTACGATCATTTACAATTATTTACGAATTTAAAATAATTCTTTAAATGATAGAATTATGAAATCAATTTTTCAATTAATAAATTCGATTAAATCAATCGATATATCTATTCATTGGTATTAATCTTGATTAAAAACTATATAAAATAAAATTTAACATTTTCACTATTTCATTTCTTTTCAGCATTGGTATTGGTCCAGTTGCATGGTTTATTGCTACCGAATTAGCTAAACCATATTGTCGAATTCAAGTACAATCATTATCCATTTCATCACAATATCTTACCTGTTTCCTATGTCCAGTTATATATTTACCTTTGGAAAAATTAATTGGACCATTCAGTTTTCTAATTTTTATCATTCCATTAACAATTACAACATTTTACATATATTACTATATGCCGGAAACTCGTAATCGTAATCCGGATGAAATTTATCAATTGTTAGACAACCAAAAAGCAATTTCAAAGTTTTTTTCGTAAATAATACATTTTCTTTCATTGCAATATTTTTTATCTTTTTTTGAATTATTATTTGCTGCAATTTATGTGTTAAATTAGCGACTAATTAATTAAAACATATCATAAATCATTTAAGCTGTAGCGAAAGTTTCAGGCAAATTATTAAGATCATAAATGATATTATATCGTAATTGAATATTTTAAAATATGAATGCATTAGATTGAAATAATTCTATTAGTCATATATCATAAGTTTTTCGTAAACATTCCAATTTTTTTATTTTTATTTGAATTTTTTTCCCCAGCTTGAATTCAGATATTGCTTTGCATCAATATGAAACCAATATTAAATTGATATTAATATCAAACAGATATTTAATACAAATCATTGTCCCTGTCAAGAATTTATCATTATCGCTTATCGATAAATGAATAAATTTCAATGAATAACATAGTAATTGTATTAATTTTATTGATGAATATCAAATTGATCCGTGATAAATATAATTGCGATAAAAATATTCCAAAGATCCTGCATCAATATTAAAACAATAATTTGATTTGATAAACTTACTATTGAATTCAAATTTAGTTACGTGAGATAAGAGTGAAATTAATAAAAAATAAATGAAGTTTGAAAAAAGTTTAAAATTAAATCGATCAAATTGAATCATATGTTGTTTGAAAGTAAAAAATAAAAATTTGAATTTAGCTTGAAATTTCGAAAGATACGATTAATAAATTTGTTCGAAAATTTTCGTTATTGATTTTTTGATCATAGACTGAATAATATCATTAAAAAAAAAGACCAGATAATATTACAATGAAACTTATTACAACGTAGGAAAAAATTAATTGAAATGATATGTTGCAATCAATTATTCGATTTATTTCTCAGTATTGTATTCATAAATTGAATTTTAATTTTTTAATGAAAAGTATAATTTAAAGACAAATTTGGTTTATAAATATAGTCATCTAGCAATGAATAAATCAATCTGAAACCAAATAGGAAATGGAATAATTTAATTAAAGGGAAAATTATTCATTCAAATTCTTATAAACACAATACAAAGTTAATCCATTACTGATAATAGCTAAATTGACTGATTATAACTAAAATAGGCGATCACTTAGCGATAAGATTTGATTAATTTCTAAAATTTGATATATTTATTTTATTAAAATGATGAATGATATATTTATTAAATAATTGCTGTTATTCTAGGAAATAGAATTTAATAAAAATTCTCATCAAAAACAAAAATGCGTCAGAGAAAGATTATTTAAAAAAAAAAGATGGCAGTGATTATTGAGCGATAGAAATTTGTTTACTTTGTTTTATTTTTTCGTTTTGAAGTAGAAAATTTCAAAGAAAACAAAATTTTAAATATAAATAAAGTAATGGAATAAATTCTTCTATTTTTTTATTTTTGAAAATAAATGTGTAAAATTCAAAAATCAAATATAAGTGATGATATATTGCTTCATTTTTTTTTAGAAAAATACCGAAAAAATTGAGTAACAAAAAAGGATTGATTTTTTTAAATGATAAAATGAGCAAATCAAAATATCAAATTTGAGGGCCACAAAATAAAATCTAAGGAAAATGAAAGTCGAATGAAATTACATTTAAATGAATTGAAAAGAAAGAATAAATAAATTTTGACAGATTTTTTTTCATTTCCTCTCCCTCTCTCTCTCTCCTTCTTCTTTTTCCTCATCCTTCCTTTTTTCATATATTTTGACAATAATTAGGAGAGTTTTTGTTTTGGTTGAAATTTAAAAAAAAAAATTTTTAAATCGTTGTACGTATGTATGTATTTGTGAAGTGTTCAATTGTATTTTATCATAAAGTTTAATCGATCACATTCTATCGTATAATATTTGCATCTATTAATCAATGTTTAAATGTGATATTTTTTTGAATAAAATTGCTTTGATAATAATTTGATGAAACTGATCATTAAATATGAAAAATGGATGTGTGCATGTAATGTTAATGTTATCAATTTATCGATAATTAAGGAATGGGATACGGAAATGGAAAATGGAATTGAAAATAGAACTAAGAAACGTATGATACGAATAATTTTTATGCAAATGAAAAATTCAATAATGTAAAGAAAAGAGAGAGGAAAGATTATAATGCAAATGAAATTGAAATAGGAAATGGATAATATAAAAGATTTTTGATATATATGAAAATAAAAATGGAACAGACAATGTAAAAGATTCGTGATAAAATGGAATTGCAAATAGGAATTGTTAATATGATAAATTTTTAGCTTCTCTTATATATGCTAATGATATAAATAATGACAAAAAAATGTTTCCTTTTTTTGCTTAAACAAAAAAGAAAATCTGAAAGTTTAAATTATTATTATTTAAGGAAAAAGAAAATCTGAAAGTTTAAATTATTATTATTTCTTTTCGTTTTATTCTATTCATTAATTAAATTTACATATTTCCTATTATCAGCTTTTTCTGTCTTTTTAACAAATCATTGACAACAAATTTTCTTTTTCTTCGTTTTTCTTATTCATTTCTTCTCTATCATTTTAATTTGAATTTGAAATGCAAAAAAAACTTTGAACATCTATGTGACATATTTGATGACGAATATATCAAATTTGTAATTTTCACAGCTGACAAAATGTTATCCATCTACTCTATACTGCGCTGTTTTAATAAATTTAATTATTATATTATATTTTGAATATTCTTATCCCAACAGAGAGAGAAAGAGAAAGAGAAAGAGAGAGAAGAGAAAGAAATGGAACATTTTTATTTGTAAATATTAAATATTTTCAGTAACAAATATTAAATATTTTTTATTATCAAAAAAACGAGACTACTATGAAGAAAAAGAAAGTTATGTAAAGAAGAAGAGGAGGAATAAAGAAAAACAGAGAAAGAGAGGGAGAGAAAGAGATTGAGTAATCAAAAATGTTTTTTATTTTTAAATTAATTATTAATCATTAAATCGTCTTCCTAATTATGGATCAAAATTTTTGAAGTTTCAAAAACATTTCCTATATTTGTTTATCATTGATACATAGTAATTATCAAATATCAATCAGCATTGATCTTCTCGAATTTCTTCATTCTCATGATGCTATTTCTCTGTTTTCCTCTTTTCTTCCTTCTATCATTGTTAATTTATTGATTATGTGATTTATTGGAAAAAATTAAATTTTTAGTTATCGTAATTAATTATCAAATTTTCATGGGCTTTATTCACTCTTCTCATTTTAATTTAATTATTGTATTTAATTATTATATTTTTAACAATGGCATTTTTCTCGCGAAAGACTAATCGAACTATCTAGTAGCTGGTTCCCTCTGAAGTTTCCTCAGGATAGCTGGAGTACGTAATTAAAGCAGTTATATTCGGTAAAGCGAATGATTAGAGGAATTATGGGACGAAATGTCTACAACCTATTCTCAAACTTTCAATGAGTATGACGTCTTGCTTGCTTAAATAAATGAATGAAGCATAGACATTGAATGTGTACTCCAAGTGGGCCATTTTTGGTAAGCAGAACTGGCGCTGTGGGATGAACCAAACGTTGAGTTAAAGTGCCAAACTTTCCGCTCATGAGACCCCATGAAAGGCGTTGGTTGATATAGACAGCAGGACGGTGGCCATGGAAGTTGGAAACCGCTAAGGAATGTGTAACAACTCACCTGCCAAATCAACTAGCCCTGAAAATGGATGGCGCTTGAGCGGAAGACTTATACTCAACCGTTGCATGGCTTGTGTTTTTAAAATTTTGGAAAAAAAAATCAAAAAAAAAAAAACCTGGCCGCAACGAGTAAGAGGGTCGCAATGGTTAGCGTTGAAGACTTTGGGCGTAGGCCCAGTTGGAGCTTCCATTGGTGCAGATCTTGGTGGTAGTAGCAAATATTCAAGTGAGATCCTTGAAGACTGAAGTGGAGAAGGGTTCCACGTGAACAGCAGTTGAATGTGGGTCAGTCGATCCTAAGATATTGGCTAATGCCGTTTTGTAAAAATAGAGGAATGGAGAATGTAAATCCATCTGATTGAATCGAAAGGGAAACGGGTTAATATTCCCGTACCTGGACACGGAGATAAATACTCATTATGAGAATTTAGCGCGGTAACGCAAATGAACTCGGAAACATTAAATAAAGCCCGAGCCAGAGTTCTCTTTTCTGGTTAAGGAACGGACTCCCTGGAATCGGTTCAGCCGGAGATAGGGACGTTGTTTCCGTAAAGCGCCACGGTTCCTGTGGTGTCTCGTGCGCTTTATTTGATCCATGAAAATCCGAGGGAAGCTATTTGAATTTCGTGCCAGATCGTACCCATATCCGCAGCAGGTCTCCAAGGTGAACAGCCTCTAGTCGATAGAATAATGTAGGTAAGGAAGTCGGCAAATTAGATCCGTAACTTCGGGATAAGGATTGGCTCTAAGGACTGGGCCGGTCGGGCTGTAATGTGAAGTAAGTATGGTTTGATCCATGCAGTGTAACATTAATGAATTTTTTTTCATTAAGAAATTCATTGATGAAACTCGGCTAGTTTGTTCGAACTATCTTATGGACCGTTATAGCTTATATATCACATTTATTTTATTTTTTTGAAAAAATAAAATGAATGTTTAAAATTGATATTTCGGCCGGTGTTAAACAGTTAACTTAGAACTGGCACGGACTCGGGGAATCCGACTGTCTAATTAAAACAGAGGAGACAGATGGCCCTTGCGGGCGTTGACTGTCTCTGATTTCTGCCCAGTGCTCTGAATGTAAAAGTGAAGAAATTCAACCAAGCGCGGGTAAACGGCGGGAGTAACTATGACTCTCTTAAGGTAGCCAAATGCCTCGTCATCTAATTCGTGACGCGCATGAATGGATTAACGAGATTCCCACTGTCCCTATCTACTATCTAGCGAAACCACAGCCAAGGGAACGGGCTTGGTAAACACAGCGGGGAAAGAAGACCCTGTTGAGCTTGACTCTAGTCCGACTCTGTGAAGAGTCATGAGAGGTGTAGCATAAGTGGGAGGTATTTTAATTAATACCATCAGTGAAATACCACTACTTTCATCGATTCTTTACTTATTCGGTAAAACGAGAATTGAAATATTTTATTAAAATATTTCGAAATTTTTGATTTAAATTAAATTACTCGGTAATTTAATGACTTGCACCGAAGACAGTGTCAGGCGGGGAGTTTGACTGGGGCGGTACATCTGTCAAAATGTAACGCAGGTGTCCTAAGGCTAGCTCAGAGAGGACGGAAACCTCTCGTAGAGTAAAAGGGCAAAAGCTCGCTTGATCTTGATTTCCAGTACGAATACAGACCGCGAAAGCGTGGCCTATCGATCCTTTTGAATTAATTAGAAGGTTTCTAGCAAGAGGTGTCAGAAAAGTTACCACAGGGATAACTGGCTTGTGGCAGCCAAGCGCCCATAGCGACGTTGCTTTTTGATCCTTCGATGTCGGCTCTTCCTATCATTGCGAAGCAGAATTCGCCAAGCGTTGGATTGTTCACCCACCAATAGGGAACGTGAGCTGGGTTTAGACCGTCGTGAGACAGGTTAGTTTTACCCTACTGTGATATGTTGTTGCGATAGTAATCCTGCTCAGTACGAGAGGAACCGCAGGTTCAGACATTTGGTTCATGTGCTTGGCCGATCGGCCAATGGTGCGAAGCTACCATCTGAGGGATTATGACTGAACGCCTCTAAGTCAGAATCCCACCTAGACAAGGCAACGATATATATATATATATATATATATATATATGTAGAGAAATATATATATATAAAATATTGAGAAAAAAAGAAATTTCATTTGAAAATATAAATAATATATAACATTTTTGATAAAAATTATTTTTATAAAAAAATTATGAAAAAAAAAATAATGAAAAAAAATTTTTCAAAAAATACTACAACGTTGATAGAGAGCGATGAAGTTATCTATGTTAGATGCAGTGTGCTCATCGCTCAGTCACTAACTTGAGCAATAGATTGTTTGGCGAAACGAGGGTTTCATCGAATGAGCAATCAATTGATACGGCGCACAACACATAGCGCGAATAACCATTGTGAACAGAAACGGCAGCAACGCCGTATAAATTTGATGATGGTTATTTCTATGTGTTATGATGCGATTGAATCCAAAATGAAGATAACGTAACGGTGTGTATATCGAATAAATGCAAATGCTATGCTCCTTTGTATAATACTCGTCTAATCATAGATATATACGATGAATTTGTCGTATATATTTGTATAATTCATAGATATGCATTGTGACTCGTCTAATCATATATATATACGATGATTTTGTCGTATATATCTCTCTAATCACAAATACGGATTATGACTCGTCTGTGTTTGTCTAATCATAGATATGCATTATGACCTGTCTAATCATAGATATATACGATGAATTTGTCGTATATATTTGTATAATTCATAGATATGCATTGTGACTCGTCTAATCATATATATATACGATGAATTTGTCGTATATATTTGTATAATTCATAGATATGCATTGTGACTCGTCTAATCATATATATATATACGATGAATTTGTCGTATATATTTGTATAATTCATAGATATGCATTGTGACTCGTCTAATCATAGATATATACGATGATTTTGTCGTATATATCTCTCTAATCACAAATACGGATTATGACTCGTCTGTGTTTGTCTAATCATAGATATGCATTGTGACTCGTCTAATCATATATATATACGATGAATTTGTCGTATATATTTGTATAATTCATAGATATGCATTGTGACTCGTCTAATCATAGATATATACGATGATTTTGTCGTATATATTTCTCTAATCACAGATACGGATTATGACTCGTCTGTGTTTGTCTAATCATAGATATGCATTATGACCCGTCTAATCATAGATATATACGATGAATTTGTCGTATATATTTGTATAATTCATAGATATGCATTGTGACTCGTCTAATCATATATATATACGATGAATTTGTCGTATATATTTGTATAATTCATAGATATGCATTGTGACTCGTCTAATCATATATATATACGATGAATTTGTCGTATATATTTGTATAATTCATAGATATGCATTGTGACTCGTCTAATCATAGATATATACGATGATTTTGTCGTATATATTTCTCTAATCACAGATACGGATTATGACTCGTCTGTGTTTGTCTAATCATAGATATGCATTATGACCCGTCTAATCATAGATATATACGATGAATTTGTCGTATATATTTGTATAATTCATAGATATGCATTGTGACTCGTCTAATCATATATATATACGATGAATTTGTCGTATGTATTTGTATAATTCATAGATATGCATTGTGACTCGTCTAATCATAGATATATACGATGATTTTGTCGTATATATTTCTCTAATCACAGATACGGATTATGACTCGTCTGTGTTTGTCTAATCATAGATATGCATTATGACCCGTCTAATCATAGATATATACGATGAATTTGTCGTATATATTTGTATAATTCATAGATATGCATTGTGACTCGTCTAATCATATATATATACGATGATTTTGTCGTATATATCTCTCTAATCACAGATACGGATTATGACTCGTCTGTGTTTGTCTAATCATAGATATGCATTATGACCCGTCTAATCATAGATATATACGATGAATTTGTCGTATATATTTGTATAATTCATAGATATGCATTGTGACTCGTCTAATCATATATATATACGATGAATTTGTCGTATATATTTGTATAATTCATAGATATGCATTGTGACTCGTCTAATCATATATATATACGATGAATTTGTCGTATATATTTGTATAATTCATAGATATGCATTGTGACTCGTCTAATCACAGATATATACGATGATTTTGTCGTATATATTTCTCTAATCACAGATACGGATTATGACTCGTCTGTGTTTGTCTAATCATAGATATGCATTATGACCCGTCTAATCATAGATATATACGATGAATTTGTCGTATATATTTGTATAATTCATAGATATGCATTGTGACTCGTCTAATCATAGATATATACGATGATTTTGTCGTATATATCTCTCTAATCACAGATACGGATTATGACTCGTCTGTGTTTGTCTAATCATAGATATGCATTATGACCCGTCTAATCATAGATATATACGATGAATTTGTCGTATATATTTGTATAATTCATAGATATGCATTGTGACTCGTCTAATCATATATATATACGATGAATTTGTCGTATATATTTGTATAATTCATAGATATGCATTGTGACTCGTCTAATCATATATATATACGATGAATTTGTCGTATATATTTGTATAATTCATAGATATGCATTGTGACTCGTCTAATCATAGATATATACGATGAATTTGTCGTATATATTTGTATAATTCATAGATATGCATTGTGACTCGTCTAATCATATATATATACGATGATTTTGTCGTATATATTTCTCTAATCACAGATACGGATTATGACTCGTCTGTGTTTGTCTAATCATAGATATGCATTATGACCCGTCTAATCATAGATATATACGATGAATTTGTCGTATATATTTGTATAATTCATAGATATGCATTGTGACTCGTCTAATCATATATATATACGATGATTTTGTCGTATATATTTGTCTAATCATAGATATGCATTATGACCCGTCTAATCATATATATATACGATGAATTTGTCGTATATATTTGTATAATTCATAGATATGCATTGTGACTCGTCTAATCATATATATATACGATGAATTTGTCGTATATATTTGTATAATTCATAGATATGCATTGTGACTCGTCTAATCATATATATATACGATGAATTTGTCGTATATATTTGTATAATTCATAGATATGCATTGTGACTCGTCTAATCATATATATATACGATGAATTTGTCGTATATATTTGTATAATTCATAGATATGCATTGTGACTCGTCTAATCATATATATATACGATGAATTTGTCGTATGTATTTGTATAATTCATAGATATGCATTGTGACTCGTCTAATCACAGATATATACGATGATTTTGTCGTATATATTTCTCTAATCACAGATACGGATTATGACCCGTCTGTGTTTGTCTAATCATAGATATGCATTATGACCCGTCTAATCATAGATATATACGATGAATTTGTCGTATATATTTGTATAATTCATAGATATGCATTGTGACTCGTCTAATCATATATATATACGATGATTTTGTCGTATATATCTCTCTAATCACAGATACGGATTATGACTCGTCTGTGTTTGTCTAATCATAGATATGCATTATGACCCGTCTAATCATAGATATATACGATGAATTTGTCGTATATATTTGTATAATTCATAGATATGCATTGTGACTCGTCTAATCATATATATATACGATGATTTTGTCGTATATATTTGTCTAATCATAGATATGCATTATGACCTGTCTAATCATAGATATATACGATGAATTTGTCGTATATATTTGTATAATTCATAGATATGCATTGTGACTCGTCTAATCATATATATATACGATGAATTTGTCGTATATATTTGTATAATTCATAGATATGCATTGTGACTCGTCTAATCATATATATATACGATGATTTTGTCGTATATATTTGTCTAATCATAGATATGCATTATGACCCGTCTAATCATAGATATATACGATGAATTTGTCGTATATATTTGTATAATTCATAGATATGCATTGTGACTCGTCTAATCATATATATATACGATGAATTTGTCGTATATATTTGTATAATTCATAGATATGCATTGTGACTCGTCTAATCATATATATATACGATGAATTTGTCGTATATATTATGTATAATTCATAGATATGCATTGTGACTCGTCTAATCATATATATATACGATGATTTTGTCGTATATATTTCTCTAATCACAAATACGGATTATGACTCGTCTGTGTTTGTCTAATCATAGATATGCATTATGACCCGTCTAATCATAGATATATACGATGAATTTGTCGTATATATTTGTATAATTCATAGATATGCATTGTGACTCGTCTAATCATAGATATATACGATGAATTTGTCGTATATATTTGTATAATTCATAGATATGCATTGTGACTCGTCTAATCATATATATATACGATGAATTTGTCGTATATATTTGTATAATTCATAGATATGCATTGTGACTCGTCTAATCACAGATATATACGATGATTTTGTCGTATATATTTCTCTAATCACAGATACGGATTATGACTCGTCTGTGTTTGTCTAATCATAGATATGCATTATGACCCGTCTAATCATAGATATATACGATGAATTTGTCGTATATATTTGTATAATTCATAGATATGCATTGTGACTCGTCTAATCATATATATATACGATGAATTTGTCGTATATATTTGTATAATTCATAGATATGCATTGTGACTCGTCTAATCATATATATATACGATGAATTTGTCGTATATATAATTATATATTCATAGATATGCATTGTGACTCGTCTAATCATATATATATACGATGAATTTGTCGTATATATTTGTATAATTCATAGATATGCATTGTGACTCGTCTAATCATATATATATACGATGATTTTGTCGTATATATCTCTCTAATCACAGATACGGATTATGACTCGTCTGTGTTTGTCTAATCATAGATATGCATTATGACCCGTCTAATCATAGATATATACGATGAATTTGTCGTATATATTTGTATAATTCATAGATATGCATTGTGACTCGTCTAATCATAGATATATACGATGAATTTGTCGTATATATTTGTATAATTCATAGATATGCATTGTGACTCGTCTAATCATATATATATACGATGAATTTGTCGTATATATTTGTATAATTCATAGATATGCATTGTGACTCGTCTAATCATATATATATACGATGATTTTGTCGTATATATCTCTCTAATCACAGATACGGATTATGACTCGTCTGTGTTTGTCTAATCATAGATATGCATTATGACCCGTCTAATCATAGATATATACGATGAATTTGTCGTATATATTTGTATAATTCATAGATATGCATTGTGACTCGTCTAATCATATATATATACGATGAATTTGTCGTATATATTTGTATAATTCATAGATATGCATTGTGACTCGTCTAATCATATATATATACGATGAATTTGTCGTATATATTTGTATAATTCATAGATATGCATTGTGACTCGTCTAATCATATATATATACGATGAATTTGTCGTATATATTTGTATAATTCATAGATATGCATTGTGACTCGTCTAATCATATATATATACGATGAATTTGTCGTATGTATTTGTATAATTCATAGATATGCATTGTGACTCGTCTAATCATAGATATATACGATGATTTTGTCGTATATATTTCTCTAATCACAGATACGGATTATGACTCGTCTGTGTTTGTCTAATCATAGATATGCATTATGACCCGTCTAATCATAGATATATACGATGAATTTGTCGTATATATTTGTATAATTCATAGATATGCATTGTGACTCGTCTAATCATATATATATACGATGAATTTGTCGTATATATTTGTATAATTCATAGATATGCATTGTGACTCGTCTAATCATATATATATACGATGATTTTGTCGTATATATCTCTCTAATCACAGATACGGATTATGACTCGTCTGTGTTTGTCTAATCATAGATATGCATTATGACCCGTCTAATCATAGATATATACGATGAATTTGTCGTATATATTTGTATAATTCATAGATATGCATTGTGACTCGTCTAATCATATATATATACGATGAATTTGTCGTATATATTTGTATAATTCATAGATATGCATTGTGACTCGTCTAATCATAGATATATACGATGATTTTGTCGTATATATTTCTCTAATCACAGATACGGATTATGACTCGTCTGTGTTTGTCTAATCATAGATATGCATTATGACCTGTCTAATCATAGATATATACGATGAATTTGTCGTATATATTTGTATAATTCATAGATATGCATTGTGACTCGTCTAATCATATATATATACGATGAATTTGTCGTATATATTTGTATAATTCATAGATATGCATTGTGACTCGTCTAATCATATATATATACGATGAATTTGTCGTATATATTTGTATAATTCATAGATATGCATTGTGACTCGTCTAATCATATATATATACGATGAATTTGTCGTATATATTTGTATAATTCATAGATATGCATTGTGACTCGTCTAATCATATATATACGATGAATTTGTCGTATATATTTGTATAATTCATAGATATGCATTGTGACTCGTCTAATCATATATATATACGATGAATTTGTCGTATATATTTGTATAATTCATAGATATGCATTGTGACTCGTCTAATCATATATATATACGATGAATTTGTCGTATGTATTTGTATAATTCATAGATATGCATTGTGACTCGTCTAATCATAGATATATACGATGATTTTGTCGTATATATTTCTCTAATCACAGATACGGATTATGACTCGTCTGTGTTTGTCTAATCATAGATATGCATTATGACCCGTCTAATCATAGATATATACGATGAATTTGTCGTATATATTTGTATAATTCATAGATATGCATTGTGACTCGTCTAATCATATATATATACGATGATTTTGTCGTATATATCTCTCTAATCACAGATACGGATTATGACTCGTCTGTGTTTGTCTAATCATAGATATGCATTATGACCCGTCTAATCATAGATATATACGATGAATTTGTCGTATATATTTGTATAATTCATAGATATGCATTGTGACTCGTCTAATCATATATATATACGATGAATTTGTCGTATATATTTGTATAATTCATAGATATGCATTGTGACTCGTCTAATCATATATATATACGATGAATTTGTCGTATATATTTGTATAATTCATAGATATGCATTATGACTCGTCTAATCATAGATATATACGATGAATTTGTCGTATATATTTGTATAATTCATAGATATGCATTGTGACTCGTCTAATCATATATATATACGATGAATTTGTCGTATATATTTGTATAATTCATAGATATGCATTGTGACTCGTCTAATCATATATATATACGATGATTTTGTCGTATATATTTCTCTAATCACAGATACGGATTATGACTCGTCTGTGTTTGTCTAATCATAGATATGCATTATGACCCGTCTAATCATAGATATATACGATGAATTTGTCGTATATATTTGTATAATTCATAGATATGCATTGTGACTCGTCTAATCATATATATATACGATGAATTTGTCGTATATATTTGTATAATTCATAGATATGCATTGTGACTCGTCTAATCATATATATATATACGATGAATTTGTCGTATATATTATGTATAATTCATAGATATGCATTGTGACTCGTCTAATCATATATATATACGATGATTTTGTCGTATATATTTGTCTAATCATAGATATGCATTATGACCCGTCTAATCATAGATATATACGATGAATTTGTCGTATATATTTGTATAATTCATAGATATGCATTGTGACTCGTCTAATCATAGATATATACGATGAATTTGTCGTATATATTTGTATAATTCATAGATATGCATTGTGACTCGTCTAATCATATATATATACGATGAATTTGTCGTATATATTTGTATAATTCATAGATATGCATTGTGACTCGTCTAATCACAGATATATACGATGATTTTGTCGTATATATTTCTCTAATCACAGATACGGATTATGACTCGTCTGTGTTTGTCTAATCATAGATATGCATTATGACCCGTCTAATCATAGATATATACGATGAATTTGTCGTATATATTTGTATAATTCATAGATATGCATTGTGACTCGTCTAATCATATATATATACGATGAATTTGTCGTATATATTTGTATAATTCATAGATATGCATTGTGACTCGTCTAATCATATATATATATACGATGAATTTGTCGTATATATTATTATATTTCATAGATATGCATTGTGACTCGTCTAATCATATATATATACGATGAATTTGTCGTATATATTTGTATAATTCATAGATATGTATTGTGACTCGTCTAATCATATATATATACGATGATTTTGTCGTATATATCTCTCTAATCACAGATACGGATTATGACTCGTCTGTGTTTGTCTAATCATAGATATGCATTATGACCCGTCTAATCATAGATATATACGATGAATTTGTCGTATATATTTGTATAATTCATAGATATGCATTGTGACTCGTCTAATCATAGATATATACGATGAATTTGTCGTATATATTTGTATAATTCATA